CTGAGCATCGTTCACACACCCTAAACTCGTCAATGAAACCAGTACTTTGTATGTAAACTGTTATAAATTAGAAAAGGGTGTGTTAGATTTTGAGAAAGGTAGTCCCAACCAACGTATTACAAACAAAAATACACATCTGAGGATCCTTTGCATAGGTTTCTGTTCAGACCCTATAGACTTGAGCTTGTTTCTTCAGGCACTGATTTGTATACCAGACTTTACGTAGAGGGCGATGATGATACTTTGAGAAAAAACTTGAATGAGTTCTTTAAAATTTTTGTTTCAGCTCTACGGTTGTTTAATGAACTGACTAGCTTAACCACAGTTTGAGATAGTCCGGTTGCTAAGGTGCGAATCTACTTACCAGAAGGCTGTGGTTCGGACCCGACGCTGGCATCTTGGCTGGTTCTGTCTAGGTTTGGGCAACCTGGCAATATCTCAGCTAGCATATAGTTCCATGGCGAGCCCTCGGACACAACCAGACCTACTGAGACCAATGACAAAAGAACACAGCCGTCTATGCCCCGTTGCTTTTGATCTGGTACAGTTCCACGCATCAGTAGCACGCGGACCACAATAGGATGGAATAAATCTTGCTAGAGGACTGGGGTGTTTTAGCTCCATTCCCAGCTGGACGTCCACTCTTTGGAACACAATCTCAGAGTTGCTCTAGCACTCCACACGAAGACAGTCAATTAAGATCCATCCAAGGTATGAGCAACTCTGCCTATCACAAATTCGCCATTGGCTTATGAACCCACCAAACTCTGTTCCTAAGCATTGCCAATCAACTGAATGGAGGAATCTTTTGACCATCGTGGAAAATTGCAGAAGTTTTAATGAATTCATCTAATATAACTATTCATATTCCTTTTACAAACAAGTTCGCACGTGACATTCAGCTTTCATTTATGGGTGAGTGATATGGCTGGTTTGCTCGATTCTATGAATGAGGATTCGGTAACCGTACCGGCTGTGTCAACCGTTCAACCCGCCTGTCAGAATCTTCCAGTCAGGTAGCGCCACAAATATTTTGGAAACTGTTGACAATATCGATTAGTTTTAGGTGGTTGCGCAATTCGTAGAACTCATGCTCACATCACTCTCGATGAGCACTGCTTTTCCAGTCACGGTAATCCAGGTAGGTTTAGGGTACATCTGCGGAGTAGTGATAACACGCTTACCTGACATTTCAGATGCCCTAGCGTCGAAACACCGACCGGGGATATACACTACTGATGAGCTCTTATAAGAGCATAACTAGAGCCAGGACGAGAGCTGTTCCAGAACGAGAGTGATGCGAACGTGAATTTCACGAGTTTCGTGAATACCTACACCTTATTTTTAGGAATGACTGAAATACAGATTCCGGATAACATTCCCCAAGTGCTGCTGCAACAGTACCATAAAGTCATTATCTATTGAACCACTATTCTTGATCATTTTTCACTTTTATTGCACTATCCCAAACTCCATCGGATTGTGGCTTGTAAGCAAAGAACCCACTGGTTCAGTTCAAGTCAGTAGGGACTCAGTACTTTCGCCCGTCCGGCTTCACGCCAATTCTTTGCATGTGTAATATACAGTCAAAACTGTATGTCGAGGCAACTCTAAAACCTAGCTGATCGAAAATGATTAAAAATCGAAAAAGTTCCCGTTATCTGATGAGCCTGTCAGGAACGCTAGATGGCGGCGGAGACAGTGTTGGAATGCTTGTCCACAAACTGCCTCAGCCTTTTCAACAAACTTGGAGATGTTAACCAGTCAGCTTGCCTTGAACAGCCATCCATGATAACCGTACTTACAGGAACTTGGTTTACACCGGATAGATGTCCATGGATGGCTATTCTGTTTTTCGAGCTGACTCAGAATGCAGGGGCTGAAGGGGTTGCATTATATTTACATACAGCGATGCCCATCCCAGTTGTTCTCTCCGATACCACTCCTGCACGTGGTGGATTAAAATCCCACCGCGCGGGTACGATTCTCTCCTCTGTGTGGTTGCCTCTCGAGTTCTCCGGAAGATGACCAGTTCCTCATACAGACCCTTGAGCAACTCTCCTACGGCTGCGACTTCACTCATCTCTTGCTGATAGGTGATTTTAACGCTCCAAAGACCTCCTGGAAGAAGCTCCAGCGCGTCGGATCAGACAAACTTTTTGCGGCTGTGCTGTTCAAATACATGCGACATCACTGCAGAAACAAGCCATCAGCGTTCTCCTTGGAGGACAGGAACGGGGAACCAACGAGTCACCCAAAAGTGATATCTGAAGTCTATAAAAAACACTACGCAGGACTATATTCAGCCCCAGCCTCCTCGTCACATCCACTCTTGTCAGGGATTAACTACAAACCGACTTGGTCTTCACGGTGGAGGACATTCGTCAACTCTTTCACAAGATCAAACCCATTCTCGCGTTGGGGGCCAACGAGGTCCATCCAAGGATCCTGAGCGAAACTTCGTTCACACTGGCAATACATTCCTACTCAATCTTTCGTCAGTCGCTTGACAAAGGCCACCCTTCCTTAAGTTTAGAAAGAAGCGACTGTCAAGCCAATCTAAAAAACTTGTGACCGACCATCGCCCAGCAGCTACCGACTTATTAACCTCAATAGCGTGCGGTGGAACGCATTCTGAAGCGAGCCATCCTAGATCACCTTACTTCCAAGAACTTGGTATCTCCAATTCAACACGGATTTCTCCCGAACCGTTCTTGCATGACGAAATTGCTCGTAGTTATGGGCAGCTGAACCAAACCAAGGTCGAGGGACTCATACCGAATGCTATGTTTTTCGACTTCTCAAAAGCGTTCGATCGTGTCCCACACGCCCCGCTGGTAAACAAACTCGAGTCTTACGGGATTCAAGGGAAAATCTTACACTGTATCAGGGCGTCCCTACCAGGCGGATCATTCTGAGTGAGAATAGGATTGGCCTGTTCTTATACGGTGCCGGTCTCCTTTGGAGTTCTACAAGGCGCCGTTTTGGGACCATTGTTATTTCTTAAATGTCAACGAACTTCCAGATGTTCTTGCAAGCCCATGTCTACTTTTCGCGGTCGAGCTCAAATCCTGGAGTTCCAGTGTCACTGACATCCAAATGGATGTAGACGCTGCAAAGCACTGATTGTTGGACGGGCAACTTCCTCTGAATGACGAAAAGTGCTTCCATATGTCATTCAGAGGAGAGTCAGCGAACGCCTATTTCGTACATGGTGAGAATGAAGCAGAAGACATCACGAAGTTGAATGCCCAAAAAATGGTTTGGGTATCTGGATCCCCTCAAACATGTCCTTCTTACTGCACCATGAGAAATCTGCCCAAAAGGTACTCGCAGTTCCACGGATGTTTCGCCGAATGGAACTCCAAATACTCTATGGGACCTACGTCAGATCGCTTTATGAATATGCCACCCAAGTTGTCTACTCAGGACGCTAGAAAGACGTGACCCTCATTGAACGTATCCAGCGATCTGCTACGAAAACGATTGGTGGCCCTAAATTCGTGAAACGCGTCTCGCGATGCTTGATCTCCTTCCCCTGGAGTATCGCCACCTCCGAGAAAACCTAATTCTTGCTTCCTGTTTGAACAAGGTTTGGCCAACAGGCATTTCACCGTTGACCCAGCAAACACACGGCGAGGATTCTGTAAGATTTCCAAGCTAAGAGCGCACAGTCTTACCAGGCAAGTTTTTTTTCTCATTTTACGTAGTTTCTGCGTGGAATGACCTTCCTCCAACGGCTATTCACGCCCCATTTTCGAACCCAGTTCAAATCATTATTGGACACGTTTTTATGCGATTCTTAGCTCTGGCACGCTTGCAGCCCCGCTTTGAGAACTTAAAGAGCAGTGCTAAACCCTTTTTCGCTTGTGCCATTGTGGCGTTTTGTACTTTCATTTTACTTTCATTATAACACTACGTATGTCATCAATTGCATGATCGTTTTTTGCTTGAATACGAAAAACTACAGAAACGCGCACTTGTACAATTACACTTAATACAAGCGTGGTCACGTGCTTCGACCCTCTCTTCTGATTTCGTTCGCGCTTGCAGCGGTCAGTCGCGAGTCTCATGTGCTAACTCTGGTACCAAAACATTTCAGACCATCTTCGGAATCTATTATATGTGGGAACTGTTCAGAAGAAGACCTCTGGACCAACATAATTGGATTATTGTTTATTCGCTGACCTGGGCCAACGACGAACTATTTTAAAGAGAACAATTGTTAGTGAGTCTGTTCCATCTGACCTCTTTATTTTTGTATACCCAACCTAGCGTAATTATTTTTATTTCTTTGCCACACACTCCTGGTAAACTAACTTATTGGGTAGCCAGACACCTTCCATATGAACGGCAGCCACCGAATAACAATCACAAAACCGGCCCGGGAAGTTTGGGTGAAAGCCTCAATACTGTGCATCAATCCGTGAAGCTGTGAATTCCTGAGAATAATCCCCGAATGCTCGAGACCTACGGAGACACTCGACCCCCCACCAAAATCTTAATAGGGAAACCGGCAAACATCCAGTCAAACAGTCAGTCAAATTAGAAAAGGGCTGACGAGTGTTCAAAAGCAGGACCGAAGATGATAAAGGTTAAGGTAATTACTAGAGGCACAGTCGATGATGATGGATGTTCACCAGACGCCGATCAGACAGTCTAAATCAATGTCGAAAGTGTCTTTAAATATCGCTAGCCCCTCTCGTCATTTTTCGCGCTCGCTTGTGCGCCATAAAGTCTTTGCGTTCCTTGCTGGCGATTCTTTTTCCGACGCTAAGTAACTGGAGTGGTGACAGCAGTTCGATACAACAAACTGGCGACGAGGATGGGATCCCAACCCATGCGGAGAAACCCCAATGGACTTGCAGTCCATTAGATAAAATAGAACCGATCCTTCTTAACCATGTTCTGGAACAAGACTACGGACCTCATTACAAGTGCACCTATTCTTATTAGCCTCAGTTAACGCCGGGGGGAGGGGGGTAAAAGAAAATATACTTTCACTCACGCAATTCTTGAAAACGTTTTGATCGAGCCAGCTTGCCTTCAGGTGAGTCCGGTTGTCCGACTTCAGCAGAAAATGGAGAAGAATCCTGAATCAATAGCATAGCCGGCCACACTGGTAAGATGAGTACATCATCCTTCCAAACAGCTTTGTGTTCCAACAGACCAACGGCGGGCATATTCTCCATCGATTGATTCATCGTAATCTCTTTATTTGATGGAAATGAATCTTCCAGGTAACATCTTCTATCAGTAGTTTCAGACACATCTAAAAAGTTTTGACTCTCTGACGCATAAAGCCTTTCTTCTGGGGACCCGTTGTTACCGGTCACAGCAAACCTGTTATTACAAACAAAAGATGTGTTTTCAAGCATTCCGTTGGTTTCTTCAGGTTCACCTGCTATTAAACTCGGTTGATTTACTGCTGGACAACAACACTGGTTTGGAAGCGTATGCCTGCCAGAACGTTGTTCATCTCTGTGAGTTTGGCTCTCATTAGACTTCAACCGCGACCCATGTCTCGCATCATTGGGTGTACTGTGCATCAGTATGACAGCCTCAAGAAGTTCGAAAAGAAAGATACAGCTGAATCCAATGAACAGCGAACAGAGTCCGCCAACTTCCGAGAACAGTTTGGCAAGTGAGAATATTTCCTCTTCTGTGGCCACGTGGACCGATTCACTGCGAATCAGCTTCAGTTTACAGACGCCGACCGAGATGTTGGCCTCTGCTCCGGAGACTGTAACCTCATTATGCTTGATAAACTTGGTCATTACACATGGCAACGGACAAACTTTGTACGAAATCTGCTGATCGACACAATGTTTCTTCTCACATGCCGGTCCTCCTCGACAGGCTGCTTCGTTATAACCGAGCACATGTAGCGTGCAGTTGCACCCACATTCATGGAGCACCTGACGCCAACATTCTGCCCAGCCACATGATTCTCGACCATAGAGGAATGCAGTTCCGAACAGGAGTACAGCTTTGCTCTTCTCTTCAAACAGTGAAGCTCGGTCGGCTTCGGACGGATTTCGGGGATTTGACTGCGCTCCCCTCGAACTGAGTGAGTTTGTTTGCGTCAAATTCAGCCGAAGCTTGTCCAAAAAGTCCTCATACCAGTGGACTTGTCTTTCATCGTTTTCCCAGTCTTTGTCAGGAAAGCCGATCACACCATCCACTGGATCCTCAGTCGAACTGATCGGATCCTCGGAAGACTTGGCGTATTCCGCGGCCATGGATTTCGCATCGGGACCTTTGTGGCATGGATTTCGAGCTGTTTGGAGTCTTGATGTGACAGACTTGGAAAAGTACAAAGAAATTATGCTTTTTGGATTGATAATGGTATGTATATGACGATCATACGCACTGAAAGGTAGTTCTCCACGCTCATGTGTAATGATTGTGAACGAGATTGGATCGGCGATGGACGTGGATTGATCGATCTCTACCTCCAAATATGACCATCGATCTCTGGGTGATGGAGAACGAAGCTCAAACGTTGTGCATAGAAACGACCGGGCGTTCGGGACCTGAAAACAAGAATAATTGCAACCAGTTGAGTGCAACATTCACACTCACTTCGTTTTGGTCCGTCAATGAATTACAAAAATATCAAAATCTTGCAAACAGACTTGCAATTTTTCTAAATTTTTCAACCAGCTGATTACACTTGTTCAAATTTGTTCCCCACTTCAGACATGCTGAATGGCACTTAGTTTGATCTGAGAAAGTCATTTTAAAATTTGGATGACAAATGTTGCCAACTTTTAAAGTTGTTTCGGTCTCTAAATCAGACGATATTTTGTCGGTAATTTGATGAATTCGTCACGTTAACTTGTCTTACTCAGTCGCTTTTACAACAAGCCGAATTCGGGAAATGTTTGTTTCCGACTATTGTTAATCCGCTTTGAATAAGGTACTGAGTATGACGGAAAGGATCTAGCGAAATCTGGTGAAATCTCCATCACATGGTGGAAAATTAGTTGGATAGTTTGCCTGTGGTTTACTGGGATCTTTTCCAGATAAGCCCTGACAAAAATGAAGCCTCGTCACCCGAAAAAGATTAGAAAAAAGAGGATATGAAGTTTGTACTGTTAGTTTTATTAAAGACGGTGAAATAAGGACATGTCATTAATAATTTGCGTGAAAAGGTCCGTTTTTTTCGGTGCCTTTGCCTCCAAACGACCTCACACAAGTAGCTTTCCACGAAAGGTCGGTGTGTGCCGCATTGGCGTTTATTTTGCATCTTGTAGACATGCCGAAGAGATTCGATGGTTTGTGTGTGAGCTTTAGTCGTTGGATCCACAAAGTTTTTGGTATGATCAACCGTTTCATGAGTATGGTTCATGTCAATAATCGTTTCAATCATGATTAAGCCGGCAGCGATGCAGGCCTGGATTGTGTCCATGAGAGTGACCGCAGTTCGACCTGGCACTGAATACATGAAAATCTCTTCACTATCCCGGCAGATCCCTACGAAAATCCACTGCTGGTGAAGAACTCGCCCTGCGTGGGTTTTACGGCGAGATATTGGTATTTCATGGATCTGGACGTGTAGACTTGGGCCGCCGATAGCTGTTGGAGTCTGCAAAAGCCGCCAGGCGCAAACTCCTCGAAGAAGCTTCTTCCAGCCAACAGCGGTCATGTGGCTAATATATCATCACTCTAAGCAGAATTTGATTTTTTTTATAAATTTTCGGACCAGCAGTAAATGAATAGAATTAGTGTCCTAAACCCAATCCTAGACTGCTCCAGCCAAGTTACCTTTCGAAGGCCGATTTCTTGCCGACACTGTCAGGCATTAAACCTCTACCTGTCAGAAACGGTTGAAGGTGTCATTTGGTGGTCATTGTTGCATAAACGCTGCTGATGGATCACTCCGTGACTTTGCAAAAACATATTGCCATCACGGACAAACAGTTGAATATAGATCTCACCTGAGTTGGGTGAGCTAAGCTAGTCTTAAAGGATCGAAGGATTGCCTTACTGGGATGCGTTTTCCACACGACCTTAGAGCATGCGTTTACTATGGTGCAGTCGTCATAAGCCGGCTGGATTGTAACCCAGCTTTCGTCACAAAAACCAACAGAGACTGTATATCACACGGCCTCCTGTTTGGAGTGAAGATGCAATCCAGGTAACCAATGACACATGTGGCTGATTTTCTGTCCGCGTCTCTTTGCCTTGCAGACAGTCTTCCAATCACCAAAATGCGCACCGTTTTCACTCTTGTTTGGCTGTTACCAGCTGTTTGATGGCCGGAGTGTTCAGCCTGTCAGACTGACTGACTGACTGACTGACTGACTGACTGACTGTCTAGAGTCACGAGAATCTCGCAACCGCCGCTCGCACTGCGACGTCAAAATCAAACATGTACTTAGATTGTCTGGAACGTTTGCATACGTTACACCTGTAGGAGGCTCTTAAACACCGGCTCATTTGAAAACAATGTTCGGGGTCAATTGTGTGCAAAATTTCAAGCCGAAGGTGCTCGCGTTCGTGTCTGCGCAACATCTTATCGGGCGTTGGAATTAACCGAGCTGGCGGCTGGAATTCCAGAAAGGGATGTGGTGCACACACTTGGAGTTTTCATCCCTTAGGACTTCCCAATTTCACATTGATAGATGAGGACATTGTTAGCACGCTCCTTTAAAAATGGCTACCATACGTGTTGAAGCTGTCTCCGAGACAAATGTGATTTTTAGAAACTTTAAATTCAAGTAGATGTCGCGTATCATTAACCGAGACGAGTCAACCATGTGGTTTCTTCAGTCATTCAAAACGAGGCCACTACGCGATTTTTAGCTTTTCCCCTCTGTCGTGATTTTCGTACCATGTCACGTTAGGGTAGGCCATCAGGCCAAGACAGTATAAGACAAAAAATATCCGCTTGCACTTCCGCAAAGCCAAGTCGTATACATCGACTATTCAAATCATGATATGAGGTCAGATCAACGCAGTGAGTAACTAAGAAGGAGATATGACCAGTTCTTCACGCGATAAGCGGATGTAGTTTTTTGTCATGGGTGGATGGGAAGTTTGGTTACCACCTTTATCCTCGGTGTTTTCGTCCGACAGACATTCTCATTACTGAACACAAATTTGAAAAAAACTGTCAAAAAATATACCTACGGGAGTGAGCTAGATGCCGGTTTTCTACTTGTTCTTATCAATACCTTGGATCACCACTAGGATGATTCTGTCGATGACATTTCCTCTGCGTTACTGTGACCCTAGATGAAATTTCCCAGATCCCCAAAATGAGCACGTCATGTGAAATTCGACGGACTGATGAGGACGACCGATTATAACGTTGTAGTATTCGCGTAAAGTGGTCCGTCTCCAACTGTTGTTTCCTAAATCGGGATATCCGGGAAAATTGTTCCTCAGATGGCGGGTAACAACTGCTGATCACCCATCAGTTCCGTCACGAATGGCCTGGAACTCACCAAGGTGTGACAATTGGAGCACCTGTGTGATGCCACAAGCGCAGAATCTCTCAGATCAGGTTTGTCACTCATCAGAGTTCTGACCACAAAATATTCAAGGTTATGCGTTGGAACAAATGTTCTTTTAAAAAAATGTACTGTAGTGCTAATTCTCTCGGAACGTTGCTGTCTTGCGGTCCGGCTTTTGAGAAAAAGGCCTTCAGTGAGGGTGGTTGGCATTGACACTCTCAGTCTGCAAATCTTGACTCATCTGACACCGAAGCAAGCGGTACATCATTCGTTTAGAATTGATAAACAAGAAGTCAGCATCCACTCCCAGTCACTGGATTGACCAGCCGAACGTTACCCACTCATTTCAGGTTTCGCACTTTCATCACTGATCCAGTGAGGATTGCGACAGACTGTGCAGTTGTCTTCTGCCTTATCAGAAAGAATGGTCGTCGGTCGTCTGGGTGCAGATCGATAGTAATCCACGTGCGGGTCCGTCCGCAACGTCTTTGCAGGGGTCTCGCAAACGTGAAGTGACTAGTCTGTTTCACGTGTCCGCTCAAGCGTGTAGCTTTAAAATGATCAAACATCGAATTACGACGTCTTGAGTGTCCCGTTTGCACAAGCTAGAATATCGGGTACCATTTTGAGTACCGTGAGTTGAATAGACCTGGCACAATTTACGGTTTATTATAGATACAAGCCAGTGAGACGATATAATACCTATCCATCCATGTTAATCCCAATCGATGGTATTAGCTGGCCTATCTTTTTCATCTAAGCAGTCCGCCAACTCACGAAAACGATAGCTTGATTTTGGCGTACGATCGGTAACGTGCAGAGTCAGTCGCACAACGCAGTCGGGGTTTTTGCCTGGTGCTTAGCTATGACACGTAACTTTGTGTAGTTGTCAGTGAACGTAGAATCATGAGCGAAAATAGGGGGAAAGAACTTGCAACCCAAAGTTCACAGAATCCTTCTTCCAAATCCATGTAGGTTCCCCCATCAACTTAACACCTGTTGACCCAACTTAACGCAGAGAATCCTCCGGCGGACACCAAACACACACCTTTAGCTGATTGATTCTTCTCCCGCCTTAAATCTCGACCATTCTCGTAACCTCGTCACTTGGCTTGTTTGTTTCAAAAGTGAAATGTTGTCCACTAATAAATCTACTGATTGTTCCCAAAATTTTTCGGAAATTTTCAAGTCTGTTTGGACAAATTTCTACAACGAAGAGGACGTACGAAGAGAAAAATCGACACTGTACTAGCCTGCCACCAACAATCGACATGTTCACATCTTCCAGACATTCACTCTCATTCAACTTTGATTTGATTTAATCAGTCAGTTTCAAGTTAGCTTCAAGCCTGCGAATTTTCAGTGCAAGTACATTCTCATTTGGGCTTATCAGTCATCTATTGTCAAACTGTTATCGTCGGACCACCATTCGTTCACCGATCAATCAGACCAAAAACGGTGACTGCTGGAAGGATGATACCACGAGGGCAATGTGAACCTCTTTTGTGACTACACTTCACCACAAGCCATCATTTAGTCCTACGTATTCAGTTCTGGAAGAAAGCAAATGTCTTTGTTGTGGTCCGGAACAAGTAGCCCGCGATGAAATAAATCGGGTTATCTTTAGATCCCCAGTGAAAGGAAGAAGGCCTTCTCTGCGGAGTTACTTAGTAGGAAATGCCGACTAAACAGTTACATACTATTGGACAGGGGAGCTAAACTCTCATATGCATCTCATATGCATCTCTCATATGCATCCATCTTCACTTGAACGCGTCTTCCTGAACTTTCCTGAATATTCATTGACTGCTGCTCAAGTGCAAGCAAATGGGACTCCACAAATTCCGTAATAGATCTCACTTTTCAAGAGACGCAAAGTGGATTCACGAGAAACCAAAAGGGATTCACGAGAAAACCACACACTACTCGCATGCCTCCCAGCCAGTAGTATCATCGTTAAACAAGTACCACCAGTACCATGAATTCTGCCATGTCTTATCCCATTCCTACTTGCAAACCGTCATAGATGTTGTCGTTCTGTTGCCTCAGAATAAATTGTTACACACACAAGT